TTTTTTTTGTTAGAAGCAAAAAGGTGGTTTCATAACCAAAATTTTGAGATATCTATATTGCCCGTGTACATACACCCCATGTACAAATAGAAATTCTCTAATTTCAAATATGATTTTTTATAATTATGTAATTATTTTAAAGTATTCTTTTGTTATAAACCCTTTATTTGTGTTTTAGATTCTATTATTAGTTTATTTATTTCTGATTTGTTTGTTTTGAAATATCTCTTTTCTTATATTTTTTTTTTTACTTTTTGTAAATTTTTTGCTAAAAAATATTTCTTCAGATTAGTGATATTTTATATAAAACATTAATTCTAACAAGGCCAGTAGTTGTTTACTATAAACTTCTAGGTTTAAATTTTTAATAAATTAAGAATTCTAAACAAGGAAACCAAGCTATCTAAACAGATCACACCTAAGTACTTTTTGACAAAATCTAATTTAAATATTTGTTTTAAAAGGCTAAGTAATTTTTTATTAATACAGGCTAAGATAAGAATATAAAGTAGATTAGCTTTTATTGTACATCTATGCCAATTAAAATAATAAAAAAAAGATTACTAAATTACAAAAAACAACTTAAAAATGTTTATGAACTTGAACTGAACTTGAACTAACCAAAAATTTAAGTTCAGGTTTAGTTTAGGTTCATAAATTTAAAGTTTAGTTCAGGTTCAGGTTCAAAAATCTGCAAAATTTAAAGTTCAGTTCAGGTTCAGGTTCAAAGATCTGCAAAATTTAAAGTTCAGTTTAGGTTCAATTAAACCTGAACCTGAACCTAAATTGAACTGAACTAAACTTAAAAACACTAGATCTAAATTAAGACCCCAAATTTTTAGCTTCAGCCAATTTCAGCATCCCAACATTTATTATTTTTACATACTCTTTTTACATTCGCCAGTATGCTAATTTTTAAAATCATTAAAATTTATTGATTGACCAGCTGATACAAATAACATGTAAATACCTCTTTTTCATCCAAAAAGTATATGACCCATGCATGTCGTAGGTTTAATTAAGATCAAGATGGGAATTGCGTACAATATATTAAAATCAATAAACAATTAGGCCCATAAATTCTGAATTAACACATTTTTTTTTTAAGAATCTTAGGTTAAGACCGCATACTTTTACTAATGCGTTAACCTTACAAGATATTACCATTGTGAAAGTTGACACGAATATATAAATTATATATTAAAAAATCTGTAATTAATCTGCCGGATAAGATCTTGGATTAAACCTTATAAAGATTTCTACCTTCAACCAATTGAAGTGCCATCAATTATTCATTGTTTTCGAATCTATTGAATGTTGTATACCGTATACGGTTGCATAAATTAATTCAATGCGTTCAATGAATCATAATGTTTAGCCAAAAAAAACCTTCAATAAAACAAAAGTTTAACGATGCTAAATTATTTAAATGTAATTAATATATGATATTACTCTAGTAAATGCCGGTATATAAAAAGCTTATAATTAATAAATCGATCAAATGTAATGCTTATACGTATCATGTTCGGATCCGGTTTATAGAATTTATTATGGTTTTTCAATATATGCAGTGTAATTATTTATAAATAAAATGTTCTTAAGCTTTTTGCCAGAGTTCGGTATATATAGGTTCGGTTTAGGGAGAGTCGACTGTAATTTGATTAATTTTACATGTCTGATAAATTTTCATCAGGTTCGCGTAATATGGCTCTCAGTACCTTAATATCCTTCAAAATTTGTTTCACTAATGAACTACTATCTTCTTGAATTTTAATCGATTTTATCAATGAATTTGAAATTTCGTTGTCTGTTTCTTGATATTTATCGATTAAAGAATTAATTGTTGAATTTTCCTCCAATTGAGATTCATCTATCTCTAAAGTTGGTGATAGGGTTAATTCCGTAACACCAAAATAACTCTCCCATGTCGTTTTCATTTCAAAAGGTGTTTTTTGATGATAATCATGGACAGCTGCTGAAATTCGTCGATGAAGATCTCTCATTGTTTTCGCACGATATGATGGATCTTTCATGAGTTCTCGACTGGCGAAAGGAGGTCGTTGTGGTCGAACGGGAGAGTTGGATTTAAAAAATTTGGAAAATTTCTCATTCCACCAATTTCTTACGTTACCTGGTATTGTTGAACAGCAGTCTCGTATTTTCGGACAAAACACG